CTCATGAGTTCATCAAGAGGTGTGAGGCATGTCAAAGGAAGGGGAACATAAGCAAGAGGGATGAGATGCCTCAGAACCCAATCCTTGAAACAGAGATCTTTGATGTATGGGGGATTGACTTCATGGGACCCTTCCATTCGTCATATGGCAACAAGTTCATCTTAGTGGCAGTTGATTATGTCTCCAAATGGGTCGAAGCTGTTGCAAGTCCAACGAATGATTCCTCTGTTGTTGTGAAGCTCTTCAAGACTGTAATCTTTCCAAGATTTGGTGTGCCTAAAGTAGTGATAAGTGATGGTGGAAGTCACCTTATTAACAAGGTCTTTGACAATATTCTGAAGAAGCATGGAGTCAAACACAAAGTGGCAACGCCTTAGCATCCACAAACTAGTGGTCAAGTAGAGGTCTCAAACAGAGAAATCAAAGCCATCCTAGAGAAGACAGTGGGGATCACAAGGAAAGACTGGTCTGCAAAACTTGATGATGCACTTTGGGCTTATAGGACTGCATTCAAGACACCAATAGGGAGATCACCTTTCAGCTTGTTGTATGGAAAGGCATGTCACCTCCCAGTAGAGCTTGAGTATAAAGCTAAGTGGGCAATCAAACTGCTCAACTATGACATTAAAAGTGCCCAAGAAAGGAGACTTATGCAACTTCATGGGCTAGAAGAGATCAGATTGGAGTCCTATGAGAATTCAAAGATTTACAAAGAGAGGAATAAAGCTTTCCACGACAAAAAGATAGTCCACAAGGAGTTCAGATCAGGTGACTTGGTTCTTCTCTACAACTCAAGGTTAAGGCTCTTTCCTGGAAAACTCAAGTCTAGATGGAATGGGCCATATATGATCAAAGAAGTTATTCCTTATGGAGCAATCACATTGCAGGATACTGAAGGAAAGAAATTTACAGTCAATAGGCACAGAGTCAAACCATATCTAGCCTCAGAGGTTCTGTCAATAGAGACTGATCTTAGTCTCTTTGATGTGTCCTCCTAGCAAAGAAAAAGAGGTCAAGCTAAGAGACCTTAAACAAAGCACACTTGGAAGGTAATCCCATGACTATATATGTAAATATGCTTTCCTTTTGCTTTCAATCTATTTGTTAAGTGTTTTCGGGATGTGAAAAGTTATTAGATTGGTCAAACAAAGTGCAGAACCAAGGAATTTAAAACTCTGTTTCTGCATCGAGGTGTCATATCGAGCTAAACCTCTGCAAGACCTGCCTGATGCAGTTCATCTCGAGGACGACGGAGTCCGTACGTCGAGCAAATTGCACGATAGGGATTGCACCGAGGTGTTGTATCGAGCAAAACACCCAGAACTCTGCTCGATGCAATCGCCCCGGAAGCCCTTATCCGTACATCGAAGAGCGAGTACCGTACACTGAGCAAGATGTCCGAGGGTGATCACATCGAGGTGCAGCATCGAGCAGAACACCCAGAGCCCACCTCGATATGGACAACTGCTCTTCAAAACTCCAAAACTGCATGGACGCCTCGATCATTTGGGCACCATCAACCACCTCGACTAATGATTATCCAATCCTCCACCCCTCCAACCACCAATACAAGTACAAACTTTCTTCATCCTTCACCCTTTCTACCTTCATTTTTCCATTTCATTGATGACATTGTGGTTTGCCTCCTTTTTGCATTTATAATACACAATGGACTGTGTATTCTAAGTGTGGGGGAGGGTTTGCTTGGACTAACATTCTGCATCCATATCACATTTGCATTTACATATAACTTAGCAACCATGCATTGCACTTAAGACATAGAAAATCACTAAAAATTTGAAAATTTTCGAAAATTGATTTCTTAAAAACAGAGTTTCCATGTGCATTCATATAGGACTTAAACTTCATGCATTCATTTAGGTTGTAGCTTGCTTGTTTAAAATGGGTGCAATGATAGTGAATCTTTGAAAATGCTAGTGGTTTATGAAAATGATGCCCTTGTTCTTAGTCCTTTGATGCATTTGATGAAGCACTTGAAATAAGGCTGAACCACTCTTTGAATTTATGATTTTGAAACTCTTGTTTGAAGTTGAAGCTTGCTTGATTTGATCTTGACCTTTATATAAGTGGGACCTTAATTTGATCTTTGAATTATCTTGTTTGTGCATTGAAAGTGATTGCATGGCTACCAATATACATATTTGGATCATCTTCTTCCTTTTCACCACTCTTGTTGATCCAAATAGCTGATCCTCATCATTAAGGGACAGTTAACCATACCTTGAACCAATCCTTCCTTCTAAACCCAAACACTATTGTGAGAGAGTTTGTGAGGCCTTGCATTATCATTTTCGAACTTATCTTGGCAAAAAGTGTTAGGAATAAGGCTGGCAAGGAAAAGCTCTCTTGTAGACATCCACTTGCATTTTGAGCTTGATATTAGGTTAGGAGTTTTGGGAAAAGGTAGAGTTAAGTGGTTTAAGCTTTAAATGTTTGTATCTTTTGAGAAGAGAAGAAGAGTGGGAATGGTTTCATGAGGAAAATGATATTATGGGAAGATGATTGTATCTTGTCTAAGTTAAAAAGAAGAAAGCTCTAAGTTACAAAGAAGAAAAGGTGTCAGCAACAACAAGCTTACAAAGGTCATCCAAAGGAAGAAAAATCAGACCAAGAAATCCACCAAATAGGTGATGAAAATTGGCGCCTATACAACAAAGAAGAGCAAGTTCTAAAAGAAGTCAGCCACACAAGCAAAAGAAGAAGAAGTCCCCCACATTTCAAGAAGAAAAAGATCAAAAGAGCTTTGAGAAAGGGTAGATTTAGGGGTTTATCTTGGGACTTAGACTTAATTAGGATCATCTTTGGGAAAGGGTAGAAGAGAGCTTTGACTTGCATGCATAAGTGTGTTTTTATCTTTAGTATTTTGCCTAAGATAAATTCATTTCATATGAGAGATCTCCTGTTTCTTTGAGCCACTGATGAATGGGATCATTTTTATCTCATAACCATGTCCATTGAACTAAATGCTTTCACTTGATTTGTACAAACTTGATCCATTGGTTACTTGCTAATTGAATGTTAAAAAGGTCAAGTGATTTAAGGGCTTGTGTAGATTGATAACTTGGGAATAATTTTTATTTTGTGATGAGTGTGGCTAAGTTTTAGAGTACATCTCCATCATTTGCATTCTAGCACTAGAAACATGGACATCATTTTGATCTATTGTTAGCATTTTACTGATATGAGTTCCCATTTTGAAACCTCATCACCATGTTTAATCTTTTATTTGCTTGTGGGCAAGCAAAGACTAAGTGTGGGGGTGTTGATAGCTTGCTATTTTAGATTATTTTAGGCTGCATTTCATGCATCTTTTCCTCTGTTTTTGCATTATAGTTTAGCATTTTAGTATCATTTGCACTTAGAATCAACATGGCATGCATTTAGCTTAGGATTGAATACATTTGCATACATGTGCATGTTTGTGGTGGTTTTCAGGTGTTTTTGGAATTTCTTGGAGCTAGGGAGGAGATGGAAGCGGTTCATGATCAAAGAAGATGTCAGAAATGGAGTTCTTGCAAAGTCTGGTCCATATCGAGCAAGCATATCGAGCAGAACACCCGTGGAGTATGCTCGATGCAAGCAGCAGGACGAGAGGAAAAGGATCAGCACGAGGATTCCAAGCCGTTGGTCTGCATCGAGGACCAGTATCGAGCAAGGACGTTGATACGCGCTGCACATAGCATATTGAGGTGTAGCATCGAGGAGAACACCGAGAACCCACCTCGATATCAAGCTGACTGCATCGAGCAGAACACCTTGCCTTGCACCACGATGTGTCAACGCCGAGAATTGACCAAGATTTTCCTACTCAAACCTTATCTTCTTAGCCTATTTAAGCTAAACCTTATCTTTTGAGCACTTATCTTCTTCTTTATATTATTTTTCGACCTGAGGGGAAACCCAAAAGGGGATTTGATGAGATTTTGATCAAGATCACTCTTTCAATAAAGATTTGCACTTCCTTTATTATTTTCCTTCTAGTTCTTGTTTAATAATGTTTGATCTGTCTTTTCTGCTTGTTTCTGTTGCTTTTTCTATGTGTTGTGAGTAGTTTCATATGGTTTGAGGTTGGAGCAGATTTGAGGATGATGGGTTGATAGCTTAGGGTGTTTTGGTTTGATTAATGCTTAGATTACTTAGCTTAGTTGTTCTTAGTGCTTAGTAACTCTTTTAGAGTGAAACTGATTATAGGTGTTTGCTGCATCACAAGTGTTTGTTTAAATGCCTGAAAGAACTTTGTTAGGAACATTCTCCTAGATGATTATATTGGCGTTTAGGTAGCATGTTTGGTCTATAAGAACCTTGTGTTTTCATGCTGGTTTTGCACAGATACGCCATCACAAGTGGGTCTGACATGTGCTTACCTTAGACATCTCTGTTCTTGTTGTGGGCTGGTTTTGCACAGATACGCCATCACAAGTGAGTCTGACATGTGCTTAACTTAGTTATTTCTGCTCTTGATACGGATTGATTGATTTAGTGGCTTGATAATGTTATTTGCTTGTTATCAGTCTTGACCACCCTAGGTTTGATACTAAGTAATCCCTAAGTCATCATTGCTCTAGCCTTGAACCAATGCTTCATTGTTCTTTGCTTTTCATCATTTTGTGTTCTGTTTTTCCTCTGTTTTTAGTTTTTTTGCTTTTATTCCATTCCTTGCCTTGCATTTCAAGTTATTGCATTTAGTATTATTTTTTTAGTTCTTGCACCTCATTGCTTTGTTTACCTCAGTCATGTTGCATTCAGATTATTGTCTTGTTAGTTTCTGTTGCATTTAGTTTCTTTGCATTGCATTGCTTGCTTTAGAATCATCTTTCTTCATCATAAATGGTTAAGCTTAGTTAGTGCTTTGTATCTGTTTTATTCTAGCTCCTAGATGGATTGATAAACCTCATTTATACTATATCTGATTAGAATTTATACTATATCTGATTAGAGAATGATTGAATTTAGTGACCCAAAAGTCCTTCTTCAACAACCTTGAAAGATGATTCCTCATGAAGTAAAGCTTCCACTGCAACTTCTGCGACCTGGTCTCTCGATATGCTCCCTGCAGACAGAGTATCCTACAAAGACCAAAGGTTAGACCTTTTTATCAGTTCCAGCACAAACGCAGACGAACCAAATATCAAAGATGGTTTTTTACCTTTGGTTCCATGACTATGTTTCCTGCTGGAGGATCATTTTTAAGACCACCGGGCCTTACTGTAGTATAGTTAATGCCGGTTCTTTAAATATACTTCTCGGCTTGAAGATTTGCGACCAGAGTTAGTCCATAGACGTTGAGGAAGATGTAAGCTGGATTCAGAATCTGTCCCATCGCAGCTCCATTCAGCAAGATTGGGCTTATAAGAACAAACCTATCAACTCCTTGTTTACGGCACGCATCCACCAGATTCACTTCCCGAAATTATCAGTCTTCCAAGGAGCGAAGAGATCAAACCCGAGGAGAAACCCAGTAGCACAAATCACAGCTTCATAATCATCACCTATAGCTTTAGCTAGCTTCTCAGGACCTTCTGTCACGTCTGCTCTAACCTGACAAGATATAATCACAGAGGTTTTGTCTTAAGAGAACCTAACAGCAAAAAACGTCGGATTTAAGATGAAAGACATACGAACTAAAGAGACGGGTCGTCTTTGAAAAATGTTTTTGCTTTCTCCACATCGCGAACACCGGCTTTGACGGCGAAACGACGGGACAACAACTGCTCCACAATCCTCTTCCCTGTTTTTCCAGTTGCTCTGGTGACAAACACCTTCTTCGTCGTCTTCGCTGCATTTTCTTCACTTACTTCACCTCTTTCCATCTGAGACACAAGCAAATTAAATAATGAAAAATCCGAAATCTATAGTTGAAAACATCGCGGTTTTAAATTACTGAGATCTTCGGTTGTAAATGAAGAATCGTGAAATATTTACCGAACGATAATATACAATATGTTGGATTTTTCTTATACCAGCCGCATCATTAACCAGAACTATAGATTTGTTCATAACCTTGTTCACAATCTTGTAAGATACAAGTTTCATGTCCTTCTGAACATCCTTGTCGTCGAATCTGCAAACAAAAACAGAGAGAAATTCGTTAGTGCAAAATTCCATGTAAAGAAAGAGAAAACATAGAGAAAATGGTAGTTACTTTCTTAAGGGATTGATCTAGAAATTCATGGAAGTGGTTCGTCTCTATAAAAGTTTTATCGACAGAATCAAAACAACCACAAAGATTAATTCTTTCTTTGAACGACATTCTATAGAATTCGAAAAACCAATAGAAGAACTCACAACATTGTGATGACATCGTGTCCCAACCAGAGACCTAAACACATAGTCGGAGAAGAAGAAGTCATGCCCATGTGAATCTCATGGCTGAAAGCCTGATGATGTCTCTGCTCCCCGAAGGAAGGGAACGGGTGGCCGAAATTAGGAAAAAGGTGCTGCTGCAGTGGCGGCTGCTGCAAATTAGGGTTTGATATTAGCATAAAACCTGGCGGCGCATGGAGGGCACTCAGGGATTAAGAATGGCGGATTGAAATGAAAGCTTCTCTTACGAAGTACAAAGGAGGAGGGTGTGCTCCTGAATACCATTGCTTTTTGACTTTTCATACATTTAAACAAATTTTTTATTGAAAATATAATAATGATTGAATTGTAGGAAAAAAGCTCTGGAAGAATAATTTTTGATTTGACTGAAGTGATTTCACAAAAAAAAAGCATTGTTTTAGTTTTTATAATTTTTTGTGCTGATGTGTCAGGGAGAGGAGGGAAAGGAATGCTGATGTGTGAAGCTCATGTAAGACACAATTCAACTTTTATATAATAGATTGAGCTCTTTAGGATTTGAGGACATGGGGTAGCAGTGGAGAAAGGAGTGGAGCTAGAAAATTCATGGAGATACAAATGGATGACTCTTGCACACACTCGCTGGTTTAAAGCACCCACCAGCCTAAACAATTATCTCCAGGCAGGCACACTCTTGCACAAACCCGTCTGTTTGGAGCACCCGCCAGACTGCCTATATGCTCCAGGGTATCTAACTTTCACAAACCTGCTTGTTTAGATCATCCGCCAGCCTACACAATTGCTCCCAAAGGGGCACATTCTCGCACAAACCTGCTTATCTGTGAACCCGCCAAGCTGCCCATATGTTCCAGATATGCCACTTTATGTTTTAAGTTGGATCCGACTTGGTTTGTCTTGGGTCGATCCAGTTCGTTTTAATGGCCTATAAATACAATTTTAGATTAAAAAAAAACCTAAGCCATTATGTTTTAGTGTTTCTTGCCTCCATAGTTCTAAATACTTGTTCTTATGATTTGTGTTGGATTTCTATATTTTCTTCTTAATCTACTGCAGTTCTCTTAATCTATGTGATACGTAGGTTTTATTTACTTAAGCAATCAATCCATTACTAATCAGATGTAGTATAGCATATGATCTTTTATCAATCCAAGTGGGAAAGATGAGTCAAAGAGAATACATGAAATTATGTACACGCCAAGCAGGAAAAGAGTTTATGATTCTAACACCCTAAACAGCCACTAAACTGAAACATGACAATGATCAAAGTGAAACACAAACATAAGAAGTAAAGTAAATCAAGCAAACACAACTTTCAAGATTAAGAAACAGAGTACACAAAGCAAACAGATGGTCAATGATAAACAAGAGAGTTCAGGATGGGATAATCAACCTAGAATGATCTTTGGCCTCTAACAAGATGTTAAAACAAACAATGAATACATGATCTTTTAGCATAGAACTCTAACATATAAATCAATCCATTCTAATGAAAATGATTCCTTTGAATGCAACATAATCAAGATATAACTCTTATTAGTGATCAGGAAACAATCAAGCATAAAGAAACAGTCATATCTAGCTAATAAGCTCTATAAACAACCATTCTCATGTGTAAGGATAAGCAAATCCGCTAAGAGGCTGGTTCAGACATTTCAACAAACACTCTTGATGCAGATAAATCCTAGGTTTACAATTCAGATTATTAGAAAGAATCAAGCGTTAAGAACACCTAATAGTGAATGATCTAACATCATGTATACCTAAACACCATGTTTTAAGCCTCAAATATTTACTATAAAATACCAAAAACTGGAAATTTCTCAAGAACAAGAGAGAGAAAGATTAGAGATAAGGTTTCTTGGCTAAAGATAAGATAAAAGCATAAAATTAAGGATAAGTGATTAAAAAGATAAGGTTTTGCTTAAGGGTCAAAGCTTGGTCAACTCGATCAAAGCTTGAAATACGAACATTGACAAAGGTCAAAACTACTGGGAAGGGGCTTGATATCGGCTGACTGCCCGATATGAAGTGGTTGATATAGACTTCATCATCCCAGTATCGGGTTCTTGGTCTATACAGATGGCAGATACTGGAGAACTCTAAAACACTGGTTTCTGCTCGATCTTCCATGTCGGCTACTTGTCCAATACTCTGTCTGATATGTCGTGATATCGGTTGCTTGCCCGATATGCCAGTCCAATACAAATCCCAGAAACTTCTCCAGCTTCCTTGAGCTCTACTCCTTGTTTCAGCTTGTTCCTCAACTCTCCAAACATCCTTCATTACCTCATAAGGACCTGAAATACACTCCAAATGCAAAAGAACATGCATTCCTAACACTACTGCACCCTAAGTCTAATATGAATGCAACTGGGATACTTTGGACTGTAAAATGGATGATATGCAATGAAAAACTATACTAAATGAAGCCTCAAATTATGTAATTACGCAAGCTATCAACACTCCCACACTTGCCTTTTGCTTGTCCTCAAGAAAACAAGAACAAAGAAAGGAGTGAGGTTTGAAAGTAGGAGTTCATACCCTAGAATTTCAAGGAGAGAATGTGTTCAATGTCTAAGTTAATAGTTCTAGGATGCATATGATTTTGTTCAACTCAAAAAGCCTAGCCACATTCATCACAAGCAATTACAAGTACTCATCTACATAAGCAATCATATCAATCAATCCTTTTAACATTTAATTATGTGTAACCATGTGAATCACGATTATGCAAAAGTGTTTTCATTTGGCTAAGGGTAAGGCTATGCGATTAAAATGATCTCATCAAAATTGAACTGGTTTAATGAGTATGCAAGGGATCTCTCATGAAGATAGAATGAGCTTTGGTAAAATGCTAAGGGTAAAGAACAACTTATGCATACAAAGGTAAACTTCCATCAACTCAAGTCCCATAAATGATCATAAATTCATATTCTTCTACCCAAGATCATATCCAGTTCTACCCTTTCCTTGAAGCACTTTTGCTTCTTTAATATCACAATTCTTTCTTCTCTTTTGGAGCTTATTTTAGATGCACCTTTTTCTTTGTATCTTCTTGGTTGGTTGGGTTCTTGGTTTGTATGGACTCTTCGTTCCTTTTGCTGGTGCTTCTTATCTTTTGGAAAATGTAGAGCTAGTTCTGCATGGAAGTCTTTCCAATGTAGTTCTAAATCCCAACACTTTTTACTAAGCTCATTTATGGAAAAAGCCTTTCAATCTCTCACAAATGATTCATTGGTTTAAAACAAAGTTATGGTTAAGGGTGAGGAGTTCTACTTGGACTAGCAAGAGTGGTACAAAGAAAGAAGAAAGCTAAAGTATGTATGATAATACATGAAAAACACTTTTTAGTGTACAAGACATGATAGTTAACAAGTCAATATTATGGTGCATTACGAAAACAAAATACAACATGAGATGCTCTCTCCTGCACATTTAAATTACACATATTCCTATGTATGAGAAAAAAAATGGAAGAGAGTAAAACAAAATAAATATGCAAAGCAATAAAAATGGTATTTACAAGGATAAGAGGAGTGTACCTCAGAATTCCTATGAGTAGGAGGATGAGGAAGTGTCCATGGAGTAGGACATGTTTCTGGAAAGGGAGGGTGGGGAATGAGTTGCACTCCTCTTCCTTTTGTGCCTCTGATGTGAAGAAGCTCTAAGAAGATCTACATGCTCCCTTGGCATTGATGTTTTTCTAAAGGAGTGACTCCTTTGAGCCCCATGTGAGTGCCCTTCACTATCTTGAACAACTTCCTCTTGAGCTCTAGAACTTCCACCAGCAAAGTTAGTGAGATTCTTCATCTGCTTCTTCATCCTCTTCACTGTTTTGACAAGCTTTTTGATAGTCATGTCTTTCACTTCTTTCACCTTTGGAGCAGCTTGATTTGCTTAAGAGCTTCTCTATTAACATCAGCTGAGATTGTTTCCTTTAAACACGAAAATTTTGGTGAGGGATTGCACATGAGGTTTGATGAATGACGCCATGTTTACGGAAGAAAGAAGAAAGACACATGAACTATATTCTATTATCAGAACGTACTGTCTTTACTGTTTTGCTAAATTACCGTGTTGACCACCACAAGATGAACTTTTGATTTCTCTAACAAAATATATATCCACACAACTCTTGAAAAATCGTCTATGATAGTTAAAAGTTAAACTGCTCCACAGGCGAAAGGCACACGATATGGACCCCAGACATCAACATGAATAGGCTTTCAGGAAACGCCAAACGAGTTTGTTTTGCTCTAAAACACATGTCACAGGGACTAGAGCTAGCAGAATTTAAAAAACCAGAAAACAAAGGCAAATATGAAAGCACTGAATACGACGAATGTCCTAAATGTTTATGTCAGCATGATCCAAACTCTTAACTGCTCTATGACTCTTCAATGTGACGACATCCGTAAAGTAGTAAACCCTATTCCGTTTTTCACCGGTTTCAATAAAAGTTCTCGAGAAAAGGTCCTGCAAAACACAAATAGTGTCAGTGAAAGTAGCAAAACAATTTGTTTGCTTAAAAATTCTAGACACCGAAATCAAAGTGCAATTTATATTGGGGACATATAACACATCTTTTTGTGAAATCGTATCAGATAGAGGAAAGACACCCATGCTCAAAGCAAATGCCTTATTCCCATCGGTAAAACCAACTGAACAAGGTGCAATCATCTCCACATTGGTTTAGAGAGAGACATCCTGACATGTGAAGCATCGATATTAATAAGAAGGTCACTTAAATCGATCTTACTAGACAGCTTTTCGGAATAACCTACTTTCTCTTGAATCAACTGTGTCAGAGCTCTCCATTAGTCGGATGTAAACTCGGGAAACAAGGAAGCGTTGGATGTTGTGGCATGTGCAGCTGTTGCTTGACTGCGACCACAACTGGACCCACGATCTCCTCTGCCACAATTGGATTGTCCGCCTCCTCTGCCCCGATCAGTCCTGTCTGTAAACCACTCAAGAAAGCCCACCAGTTGCCAACAGTTTTGTTTCTCATGCCCTTTTCGAGCACAATGTGAGCAGAGCATGTTACCGGGTTGTTGAATAGAATCATTAAGACCTGGATCCTGGCTTTCTGGTGTCTCTTTTGCAAGGACTTGTCCAGCAACAAAACCAACAGCGTTATGTTGTTGCTCTCTCTTCCGAGCAGAATTCAATCTCTGTTCTTCGCTAAGATCTAAATTCCTCTGAGATCTGGAGTAGCTAATGATCTGAGTACAAACACTTCCAAACCTTGCAACATCAAGACTCATGACAAACTGATGAATCTTTTCTGCTTCACGTTCCTTTGCAATCTCCGTAGCAGCTTCACGGGAACAGAAAAACACCGGACAATAGACTTGCAACTCTTCCCATAAGGTTGAGAGCTTACCAAAATACTCGAGAAAATTTTGCCCATCTTGACGACATGACGCGCCTTAATATGGTGAATTCGAACCTTGCTTCCCACCAAAAAAACGTTGCTTGAGGTCACCGTGGATTTGACTTTCGATTCGATGGAGGAGTGAATCCAGCCGACGATCATCAAGTTGACGGTTAACCAATCTTCTAGGTCGGGGCGATCGCTGCCAGGCTTCTTCAACGTACCATTGATGAAACCTATCTCGCACTTTGCTTGGAGTGCGTTAAACATCTCCGAGGCCCATTTGTCGTAGTTTTTTCCGTTCAACTAAACATGATCATAGCGCCAGGATTATCCGAGCCATACAAGGAGTAAGGTGAGATCGTAGAGACCTTGTTACTGTTATGCCCCGTCGATTTTGTCACAGACGAAGTACCGAGAGGAGTTGTATCACCACCACGGGACATCTTTCAAAACTTGGAGAACACGAAACTTGGAAAACACGATACTTTTGAAAGAAGAGAAACCATATAAAAAAAAAAAAACTAAAATTTTTTGTTTGATCTTAACTCTGATACAATATAGAATTAGATATTGAACTGACTTGCTTTATTATCGTTCATGATCAAAGATATATATACATAAATATGTCAGCTAACATATGAATCTAGTAGGGATGGGCACAAAAACCATAACCGAAAAAACCAAACCATACCGAACCAAAAAAAATGATATGGTTTAGTTATGGTTAAACCTAAAAATCCGTTTGGCCATTAATTTTTTATAATTTTGGTTTAGGTTTGGTTTGGTTAAAAACCGTCAAACCAAAAGGTTTTTTCGGTTTTTAAACTAAATTTTAAATTATTTATATTTTCCTACTTTCTTAATTTAGTTTAGGTACATATTTTATTATTGGGCTTATAGTTTCCAAGTTTTTTCATCCTAATCATACTTAATAATTTTTTATTTAACGAATATGCTGATATGAACCAATCATATCGAGTTTTTATATCTCATGTGGACGCTCTCAATGTCCTATGCCATCAACTTTTATATATTATATGATTAATTTAACTCATAAATTTAAAATATAATATTTATAAAAAAATATCTACATATATATAATAAATTAAACCTTAATTTTTCAATAAAAACGTGATTAATTCTTTATTCTTCACATTCAAGTCTTCTAGTTCTAGTTCCAAGGTTATAGGTATTAAATTTTAATCTAGATTTGTTTATTGTTTTATAATTATTGATTATGAAAGATTTGATAATTTGTTTGTTTCTCTGTTTTAAAATCTGTTCTTATTGATGAATTTGTTATGATTTAGATTCTATTTTTTGAACTTTTTTTTTCACTCATAGCAATTATTATTATTATTTCCATTAGAATCAATTTTTTTTGTAATAGTGTAATTCTAAAAAAATCGAAACCTAACCATATCAAACCGAACCGTAAAAAACCAAACCATACCGAACCGAAATATATATAGTTTTTACATGGTTTGAATTTTTATAAAACCGATAAACCGTAAAACCGAATAAACCGAACCGAAACCAAACCAAAAACCGAAGTGCCCACCCCTAGAATCTAGTCTAAAAAATTGTCCCTCTAGATTTACATTTATCAGAATATATGATATATATTCACAATAAGATGCGAGAGGCACCTTTGGATACATTGCCCTGTTAGATACATTCTGTTTTGCCTCTAAACTTGCAAAAATTGTATTTTCTGAAAATCTAAACCCAAATTTCTTGATATAAAAATATTAATATTTTAGATGACAAAAAAATCGTTTTCTATAAATCAATATATATTAACCTGTTCATAAATTAATATTTTTTCAAAATTCTAATATTAATAATTTATAAAAAATTGTAGTTATATATATTATGAAGGAAATTTCCAGGTTACGTCTTCCTTGACAAGATTCTCTTTCCGGAAAAATCCTAATCACTGCCGAACATAAAGGGTAGTCAAATCCTTAATTCAGATATTCTGTTTCTCTCAAAAAATATTTCCAACTTTTGCTAAAATTCTCATTTTCTTTTGTTCTTTTTTTTTCCAAAGAAATACTTGAAGTTTTGGGTTCGTTTTTTGTTCTTCTTCAAGCCAATGGCCGATAGATTGCTTTTGATACTCTTCCTAGTTTCATATTTGTTCGTCTCAGGTAATTCCGTTTCCATTTTTCCGGAGAAGTCTATCTGGTTTGATAAGTACTAATTTTAATTGTTAAAATTTTTTTGTTCTTGAAATTACAGGAGTAACTTCAAGGAACATTACCATAGAGAACAAGTGCAATTACACTATCTGGCCCGGAATCCTGTCCGGCGGTTTAGGTCCGCCCACCGGCGGCTTCGCTCTCAAGAAAGGAGAGGCGCGTGTCATTAACGTGCCCTCAGGATGGAGTGGCCGTTTCTGGGGTAGATCCCTCTGCTCCACCAACTCAACCGGGGGTTTCTCCTGCGCCACCGGAGACTGCGGCTCCGGGAAAGTCGAGTGTACAGGGGGTGGAACGCCTCCGGTGACTCTAGCCGAGTTTACCATCGACAGCAACGGCGGTCAAGATTTCTATGACGTATCACTCGTCGACGGCTACAACCTCCCAATGGTTGTTGTCCCACAGGGCGACGAGACTTGTAGCACCGTCGGATGCGTTAACGATTTGAACCCGACGTGTCCAGACGAGCTGAGAGTGAGAGGTAACACCAGCTTGATGACTCTAGCGACACCAATTATCGCATGCACCAGCCCGTGTGAGGCGTTTAATTCGTCGGAATATTGCTGTACCGGCGCTTATTCTACACCGCAAACATGCGTGCCGACGGATTATTCCCGGGTATTCAAGAGGGCGTGCCCACGCGCTTATAGCTACGCTTACGACGATTCTAACAGCACCTTCACATGCGCAAGTCAACCTAACTATGTCATCACCTTTTGCCCGTCGTCTGCACTCAACACCACCAAGTAAATTCCCGTATATACCCCTACTTTCGCTAATTTCGTTTTCTTCTTGTGTGTGGTCACGTTGCTTCTATTTCGACAAAGCGCCTTCGAAGCATCATACGGCTCTAATTTTGACCATTCATTAAACTATATCTTTAGATTTCCCTTCATGTAGTCCTTAATAGTTCCTCGAATACGTAAAACATTCATTTATTTAACAGACTAGCTTTTTAAGCGCGACTCTATATTATAAATTATTTAAAATATATATTGATTAAATAATTTTTATATTATTTGAAATATACTGGTAATTTTTTTATATAATGTTTGGTTATTAAAAAATTATTTAGTATTTTGTATAATTAATTTTTTAAAAGTTTTATGATTATTTTTAAATTTTTGAGTAATATGTGCCTTATATTATGAATTTATTATAAATAACTATTTATGATATATATTGTCTATTTTGTTTTACATATTTTAAATATAAAATAAAATAATTAACCAATTTAAATAGAAAATTGTATTTAATTTTTCAAGTATTTAAATTTGTTTTTTTTCCTTTTTAAATTTTATTACTGGTAACAACTTGGGATATTAATAGATAAATCACACAAACATATTTGATTTTAAAATATTTTTGATCATTTAGTTTTAGATTGTAACAATATATAAGTTCTCAAATAAAACAAAAATTTAGAATTTATATTTGAAGTTCTCAACAAAAATAACCTCATATATATATATATATATATATATATATATATATTTTATTTAACTTTGTAAAATGTCTTACTAAAGTACTATATACTCACTATATACCCAATTTATTTGTTTTTCTCTTATGTCGATATAAATTTTTAATTTATTTTAATTTATAATTAGCTAAAAAAATTTTAGTCCGAGAAATTCAGAAGTCTGTTACCCTTATATAGTTTGCATATATAGTTTGCGTATATAGTTCGTCTATGTAGTTCATCTATATAGTTCGCCTACATAATCATAAGCTTACATGTGGCATTCATGACCCCACCATTTTCAAGATTCATCATGTTGTAATTTTACAACACCGATCAACTTTTAAGTCAAAACATTAATGCTTTTGAATTTACCGAGAACACATTCACTTTTTTGACTATTTGCCTTTTTTTAATATTTACTATTTTATTTTTTATTAAATAATGTTTTTAAATTTTAATTAATTTTGTTAATATGTGTACTGTTAGCTAGGACATCAACTAAAATGAGTTAAGCTATTTATACTTATGTTTGAAACAAAATCAACAAATAAAAGTCAATCAACTTTATCAATACTAAATATCTTTGAAATACACAAGTTTTGGATATACCAAAATTTAATTGAGATTGCATTTTATCATATGAAGATATAGTTTAGATCAAAATTTTGAAACAAAAGTATATTTGTCTTTTTAAATACAACAAAATGACATAAAGTTGTTCAGATCATAATTTTCTATTTGCCTTTATAATTCTTTTTATAAGAATCTGTATATGCTTAATTTTAAAAATGATTTGTCTAATCAAATACTTATAATTTATACACAAAAAGCTAACTAAAAGTGTAAAAAACAATCAAATTTTATTTAATAAACATAATATTAACATGAAAATATACAATAATATTTTAATTCTTCTAAACAAAGAAAATAATTTTTGTCATCATATTTTGCTCCATTCTTGTTATGTATTGGTTGTTTTAAAAAATATCTGAATATTGTTGCCTTCAAATAGTTTTAATTTTTATAAATAATGAGTACAATACGTTTTTTAAACAATTAATCTTTGTAATAACTTATAACAAACAGTAATGATAAAATTATTATATTATAATAAATAAAGTGTGCTTTAAACATTAGTTTATTTATATTATATGTAAACCACCATTTTATTATTAATTTTAGATGGTTTTTATATAATTGAAAGTGTTATTTTTAATTAATGGATTTTTCTAATCTTAGATTAAGTTGATTTTTTAATTTTTTATATTCTACATGATTTGTTTATTTTTATATTTTAGTAGTTAGTATAATATTAGAATTTAGAAAGTTCTTAATAAGTCAAAAAAGAAAATAATTAACTTAAAAATATTATTAATTATAGAAAAAGATGCGAACCAATGAAATGAATTTATTTATAATTTTTATGATATTTATAATCTAATTAAATGTATTATAAAATATTTAATATATATTTTGATTAAATAATTTTTAAAATATTTAAAATACAATGATAATTTTTTATAGTACTATATACTTAGTCTATATTATTTTATTAATGATCAAGGGTTTTTTGTCCCAATTTTATTTGATTTTCTTTTATATCTATATAAATTTTTAATTTATTTTAATCTATAAATAATTTAAAAACATTGTATTCAAAGAAATTCAAAAGTCTTTTACCAATGGCTAAAAACTTTTAAGTGAAAATATCAATTTCTTTTCTTTTCTTATTATTTACTATTTGAATTCACCGAGAAAATACGTACATTTTTTGAATATTTTCCTTCTATTTTTATTCTATTTACTATTTTTATTTTTTTTATTAAATAATATTATTAAATGTGATTAAATTTTGTTAATTTATGTACTGTTAACTAAAACATCAATTAAAATGAGTTCATGTATTTATACTTCTGTTTTGAAACAAAATCTATAAATAAAAGTCAATCAATTTTTCAATACTAAATATATTTGAAATACACGAGTTTTGGATATTCCAAAATTTAGTTGAGATTGCATTTTATCATGTCAAGATATATTTAGATCAATTTTTTTTGTGGCAAAAATATACTCGTCTTTGTAAATGCTTCAAAGATAACATAAAACTGTTCAAATCATAATGTTATATTTGTCTTTATAGTTCTTTTTAATAATAATTTGTAAATGTTTAATTTTTAAAATGATATGTCTAATCAAACACTTGTAATTTAATATACCAAAAAATCACCTAAAAGTATAAAAAATCAAATTCTATTTAATAAACATTATAGTAACATAAAAATATAAAATAATACTTTAATTTTTCTAACCAAAGAAAATACGAAGTCACTAGAAGAGAGTTCCAACTTTTTACAACCGCAAAGATCCCACGGGCGCAAAACACAAAGGCGGATAAATCTATATTTTGTAAACTCAGTTCCACCTGAATGGTTAACACTATTTTAGGAATATGAGGCTGTTGACAAAAAAAAACCAAAGAAAATAACTTTTGCAATCATATTTAGCTCCATTTTTGTTATGTAATAGTTTTTTCAAATCATATCTGAATATTGTTGTCTTCAAATAATTAATCTTTATAATCTTATAACAAACAGTAGTGATCAAATTATTATATTATAATAAATAAAGTGTGCTTTAAACATGAGTTTATTTATATTATATTAAGTTGTTTTTTAATTTTTTATATTCTACATGACTTTCTTATTTTTATATATTTTAGTAGTTAGTATAATATTAGAATTTGGAATTTTTCTTAATAAGTCAAAAAATAAAAACTTTAACTTAAAAAATAATTTATATGAAATGAATTGTACCAATGAAATAATTTTTTTATAATTTATATGATTTTGTAATCTAATAATATGTTAAATTTCTTTTTATTTTTAATAGAAAAATAAAATCTAATTTCTATACTTTTTAAACTTATTTTTATTAATAATTATCTAAAAATTTAGAAACTTTTCTAATAACAACAAAAACATAATTAATTAAAATTTAGAAACTTTACTAATAACAATAAAAAACAAAATTAATTAATTTTGATATTATAATTAACTATAGATAATGATGTGTACCAATAAAATTGAATCTTTTAAATCCTATGTGGACACATTTATAAGTCTATAACATCAACTTTTTTTTAGTAATAGATTGTAAGTAAAAAAAATAATAATTAACTTACAAAATATAATTTATTACCGAAAATGATGTGGATCAATGAAATTATTATATAATTTATATGATTAATATAATCTAGTAATATTTTAATTTTTTTTATTGTTAATAGAAAAATAAGATCTAATTTTCATACTTTTAAACTTATTTTTATTAATAATTATTCAAAAATTAGAAACTTTGCCAATAATAATAAAATAAAATTAATTAAAACTTAGAAAATTTACGAATAATAATAAAAAAGAAATTAAATAATATTGATATATATAATTAACTGTAGATGATGATGTGTACTAATATAATAATCTTTTAAATCTTATGTGGATATCCTTAGAGGCATATATCATCAACTTTTATTAGTAATAGATTTTTTTTTTAAGAATGTTCATAGTTTGGAGCCAATGCCAAATATTACATGAATATAATTTTCATTCTGAGGTGTTATTAATCTATAAATGCAAAAATTCATTGAGTTGTTTAATACTAATATATATATATATATATATATATATTATTCGGACATATATTATGGGATATGTAAGAGATATGTGATTGTTTGGATATAAGGAGCTACGTCTCTAGGTATCATCCTTTAGGGAATGAGCGACATACAGCTTTGGGGTGGAAATCTGACGGGTCCTGCACACATGGAAAAATGAGTGAGTCGGGATTTTGAGTGGACCAAAAGAAAGTTTCTCTTTCGAAGGTTTTCTGACGCTCAAGTCAATGTACGTCCTACTGGAAATAAATACTCGGAAAGATCGGTTTTGAGGTGGTTTATAGGTTCAGTATTCTCGTCCAAAAATCGTAATATTCGTCTGATGTCTAGTGAAAGGAGGTGGATTGATACGAACCATGGGGAGAGTGAGGTAGGCGCTCTCTCTGCACAAGTGTAAGATAAAGAGTGAGGTTAGGGATAACGCTTATCTCTGCTAGCGTTTCCTAGAGGGACAGTGAGCGTTCTCTTTTGGTTTTGATGTCTTGCGGGGCACAAGGCGAGATCCGGCGAGGTAGAAATCGGAGGTTTTCCCCTCATCCTCTTAGTATTCTGATGTGTTATACTTGTCCTTCGTCGAATCCGAGATCGGGTCTCAAGTCAGGAATCCACTCTCCTCTCTCCTTTGGCCTTCAACCTCCATTTATACACTCTCTCACTTTTTCTGTTCCATTCATGCAGAATGTCGTGGGAGCAGGCGGTTTGGCAGCATACCTGGCTCGTTAAGCACACCACCTGCTCAAGAACAATCCGCTAGGGAGACAGTGGCAGCCTAGAGGGAGAAAGTCAGTGCTCTGGTGGGACCCAGTGTCCACATATTGTCTAGGGATTGATCGTAGTATATGTGGACCCAATAATTGCCCCCTACTTCTCAAGTGATTGGAAATGAGCCAGAAAGCCGATCTTTCCCTCATTCCTGTAAAATAAAGTGAGATTCGTTTGATACCGAAAGGTTTCGACCGGCTTAAAGCCCCGTTAGAATGGATCATCTGACCTTGCCCACA